TTGTGGAAAGGTTAACTAGAGCAATTGAAATCCAAGTTAAGAAAGAGAATGCAAGGGAAGAAGTTTTAGAGGAAACGGCATTTACAAACACTAATGAACAGCATCAAACTGCAATTTTAATATTACCTTTAGAAACACCCCCCCTCCCCCCAAACACTAAAAGATATGCATTTAGTCTGTAACAGGAAAGTGCCTCTGATGAGTGTGGCTCAGGACACCAGGCCAAAGCTGCTGCCAAGACCACCACAGCAATTCGCCGTTGCCAGCCCAGCGCCCATTCCATCAGCACAGAGGCACACTGGGCAGCAGCAAAGACCAGTGCAGTATATGGTAGTGATAATTCATGCCATTAATGTGTAAAATATTGTAAAATCCAAACCATGTCTTTTGACTATCCTGGCCGGGAGCTGCTGTCTTATTCAGATACAATTAGTTCCCGGACACACGTTAAAGTAAACATTGACACTTTAATGTAAAGATAAAAGTTTCCAGGATTTTAATCGCTGGTTTCCCGACTTGACAGGACCACCCGAAAGCGATTATCGCCCTGGCAATTGCATCTGTTGAGATAACCAATGGTGCCATCCTGATACATGTGGATACATGGCTTTTCTGGAGTCGATTGACAACATTGAGACATCTGGAGGGGATTTTGTCCATCTCTGCACATGGAAATCAACAGCGATGCATGTGAAGAGACACAAAGAAAATTTGGTCATCTTTGCCTCAGGCAGAATAAACCGTATAAAACCTCACTGCACGGAGCCACGAGCGTGAACCGAGGGGGAAATTCTGACACTCGTGAGGTCATATCCATATTCACCCGGTGCCGATCCCAGGCTCGACGCTGTCTCTTTGGCTGTGGTAGTTTTGAAGACCAAACTTCGGTCTTGCAGACAAATTAATAAATCTTTGCTAAATTTTCTTATAAGTTTGGCTCATGATTTGATCATTTATAACACCACCAATGGTTGACCACACAAAGCCATGCCCACTTTGTAAGAACCTTGGGCACTGGGTTAACCAGTGTCCCCTGAAAAAGCAATTTGATTAATTTAAAAATAGCAGGAGAGGAGAACTACAAGTGCTCCCAGGGTGTCAACATCAATAAAAAACTAAATGGTGAGTGCCAGCCTGCCAGGCACACAGGCACAAAGAGAGCAGGCCAAGGGAATGAGGGAAACAAAAAAGACAGAGCGCGCGGTAGTATCCCTGTTTCTCTAAGTGAAGCAGATGCTTCAAGGATGACTTCTGCTGGTCCACCACTGGACATGACACCAAATACTCTTTGCTATGACTTGGGTGAACCTATTCTAACCACAACTTCCATCAATGAGCCTTTCAGGTTACAACTGACAGAACCACTCCACCCGAAAGACACTGACTGGCATTTTGTCTCCGTCAACCCACAACAGCAGAGTACTTGGCACCAAATTCACTGTAAATACATCGTCACTGGGGACACAAAACACACACCGCAAGAGATCAAAATTGCTCCAGGAATGATTTCATCAGATCCTAAGCGATTAGTTCTCTGGCTGCACTGTTTCCACCCACCCCTGTTTCTTCCCAAAGGACAAATTGTACCACAAGCTATCCTGATGCTGAGTCTACCTGAAAGCACCGAAAAACAAGGACCCACAGTCTCCCAGGTCCAAGCTATTGGGAAAGACAAACCCAAAAGCTGGTGTAATGTCAAGAGGGAGTGGGGAAGTAAAACACATCGAGATGCTCTCAGACATGGGCGTGGACAGAACAGTAACCCCAGTGCAGGGTTGGCCAGCACATTGGCCTTTGCAAAACATGGCTGGTCACATTCAAGATATAGGGAGCATGTAATTAATTGGTGGGACAATCTAAGAGCATCATCCAAATCAAGGGGCTAAATGGACAATTGGTAAAGCTACGTTCGTTTGTGTTAGATTATCCAGAATCCTTCTTGGGAAGAGAACTAATGGCCCAATGAGAAGTCACAATTGACATTCCAAGCTCTCCACCGGATTTTTGGCCAGTGGTCACTGAAAAGCACTCTACCCAAAAACTGAATTGGAAGACAGATACACCAGTTTGGGTAGAATAATACCTGCTCAGTAAACAAAAATGGAAGGCATTCGAGGAGCTAGGGAAAGAGCAGCTGAAAAAAGGTCACATTGTGGAGACCACGTCTCCATGGAGCACTCCAGTGTTTGTCATCCAGAAGGCTGACAAAAAGAGATGGCAGCTACTCCACGACCTCCGACAAATTAATAATGTCATTGAAGATATGGCTCTCTCCAACCTGGTATGCCATCCCCAGCAATGCTCTTCAAAAATTGGAATTTAGCTGTCATTGATATAAAAGGTTGTTTTTTCCAAATTTTCCTACCCCTGACAATGCACTGTGTTTCTTGTTCTCGGTACCCACTATCAACAGGGAAGCCCCGATGAAAAGGTACCATTGGAAAGTTTTTCCTCAAGGACTAAAAGCCTCGCCATCGACTGGCCAATTGTATGACTCTTCCTTACTGTCCCTGGTGCGTGCAACCGCAGAAAATGCCATCATCTGTCATTATATAGATAACATCCTTGTGTGTGCCCCCAATGATGATTTACTCACCCATGCGCTTGACCTAACTTGATCGATAAATTGATTGTTGCAGGGTTAGAGCTCCAGGAAAAGAAAATTTAAAAGATGCCACGTTGGAAGCATTTCTAAGGGCTTAGAAATTGGAAAGAGGACCATTGTTCCTCAAAAATTAGAAACCAAAACGAGGATCAAGACCATTGCAGATATCCAAAATTTGTGTGGGTCTTTAAATTGGGTAATGCTAGATCTGACCAACAAAGACCTTGACTCTCTTTTTGATTTATTGAAAGGGGGAGAGGACTCAAGTTCTCCTAGGGCTGTTACCCCAGAGGCACAGAAAGCTCTAGAAAAGGTTCAGACAGCAATCATCACAAGACAGGTCAACTGATGTCGGCCTGATCATGTGGAAGGATGACTGGATGAACAGGGTCATGGGTCCCTGGAAATGTTGTACAAGCAAACCCCATGTTAGCTTGACATAACTAGGCCGCACGCCATGATAAGGAGATTGCAAAGTATGCTGCATCATGCTGACATGGTCGAAAGGGCAAGGACAGCAGCAAAAATTAAGAAGAAAAGAGGTTTTGCAATATAAAAAGGGAGAAGTAAAAGCAACGAGAATGAGGAAGAGCCCTGTGTTAGAAACCACAAAATAGGAGGAGTATGTAAATGTAACCTTTTTCTTTAAACCAATGAACTAACTACGAGTATGCATAATTACTGGAAACACATAAAGGTACTGTTGTACTCGAAATAAACTGAAGCTTGCTTTACCAATCATATTGATTGATTGTTTGTCTTCCCTCGCTGCTGTCATGACCTGCCATTCAAATTTATAATCTCAGGTAAGTTGCCACACCTCCATGGAATCATTTTCCAGTGGGAGCAGAAACCTAAGGCAAAAGAAACACCTAAAAAGGGCCCGAACCAAAGGGACCCTCTCTTGATCATAGAGTGGGTTTTTCCCAGTCAACAAAGGCCCAAAAGAATCGCAAAGCCCCAAGAGCTGGTAGCAGAACTGATCCGGAAAGCGAGGACCCGGATCAGGGAGTTAGCAGGATGTGACTTTGAGTGCATTCACATTCCAGTCGGGTATAAGTTGGGCCAAATTACTAAGAAAATGTTGGAACATTTGCTTCAGGGAAACGAGGCATC